GCACCTCGCCTAGCAACCGTTGGATGACTCTAAGATGTGTGCATGTATAATTAGTATTATCATTAATGGGTAAATCTTATTAGGTAAGAATTATTAGTTGCTATAGACACTTAATACCCGCCCAGATTATATAGGATAGAGAAAATTATTAATAAATGGTCATGTTTTAAGTCTATGCATGCCTCATCGTACGTGCACCTTTTTGCATATAATGGAGGTCATTTTTTTATGCGTTATGGTTAGCCCTTCTCTCTTTCTTATATATGCTATGCTTTATCACCGAGTTTCTAATATCTTGAATAAATCACTAGGTATATATGTACATAGTCCAAAATATCTTAGGTATGTTTTGTACTCGAAATATGTTGGGTATATATTACATACCCATACGTCACGTAGCCGGATATATATGTAGCCATATTTTACTTTACATACGTCGACTGGGTATGTACAATATTTTTGAAGCTTTTTGCACACAATTGAGTATATAAGTGTGCAGATACATTGGGCATTTCCAGTTGAGGTATATACGTCGACCGAGTATGTACAATATTTTCCTACTTTTATTCATATAGCCAGTTATATATGTCGACCGGGTATTACAATATTTTCGTCAGTAGGTATTGAATACACGTATTGGATAGTTAGTAAACAAAAATAAAATACAATGAGTAAACAAAATAAATTCTTGGGTATATACATAACCGCGTATGTACATACTTTCGTTACTAAATATAAGATACCCATTTTAGACATAGGAAACAAATAAATGTAATAGTTGAAAAAACAAATTATTGAATATATATATATATACCTGTGTATGTATATAATTTCGTTGGTATGTATTAGATACCCATATTAGATAGTTAGGAAACAAAAATACGTGTATTAGATACCCGCATCAATTCAAACAAAGTCAATATTAATATGTTTTATTGTATGGCAAGTCTTGCATGCCTAATAATTAGAAAAAATAAATAAAATATAAGTAGGGAAAGTCTTGCATGAAGAATAGTTAGGAAACAAATTAAATATACCCCGGTTGCCGTGCCCCATCTATTTTACGGTGTACAGAAGTATGGGTACTTCTGTACGCCTTGCACACGGGCAGTCGCAGCCACACCTGCAACGAGGCTTGACGGGGCAGAGGAAGATGAAATGCGAAGACCACCAGGACAGATACTCAAGGAACAAGGAGCAGAAGGCGAGCTGGACCTCCCCCGGCAACACCCTTGCCGGGGCAGCCTACGCAGCACCAGCGAGCCCATCACCCTTGGGGCTGAGGGTTCTGACAGCATCGACAACGTTAAGACCAAAATTTGGAAACGCATGCGAGCATGCAGATCTTCATAGAGATTGACAACCTATGGGTCCACGTGGAACCAAAAGACGAAGACCCCCGGCAAGACCCTTGCCAGGGACGACAAGGCCTGATACATCTGATTGATGAGTCCTGTGTTTGTTTACGTGTTTCTGCTACCACTTATGTACTAATGCTAATTATCTACTCCCTCCGTCCAGAATTACTTGTCGAGGAAATGGAATGATCATCATCATACCGTCATAATACCATGCTAAAAGCTTCAGCACATGAATAAATTGCGATTTCACAACAATATTCAAATGACGGTTGGTGATATCCGTAATCAGAGCAAGATTTGAATTCCGCATGCGGGAAAAAACCCCGTCATGTATGTAATTGTTGTATTCCTGTTTCACAGCACCAACTGCCACAGCGAGTACACTAGTAGCATAAACAAACAAACACAAGACAGCTTCCAGAATTTCTTGGTCTATTTTCTACCACGTAAAAACTAGATCCACTAGACAAGAAAAAGTATCTGTATCTAAGATTTTTTGGTCTGGATGGTCAGGTCATGTATCCCTAGATCCTCGTACAGTCCATGCACGTATTCGAGCACCGATTGATCATCACTGCTATTCTTCACCTGCACACACACCCAATGCCCCACTTCAGTCATTCGAGCACTATCAGGTATCAACAAGTCAAGTTTGCTGAAATTATCTTGTTACCCGGATGGAGAGGCAACCCACGGCATGACCAGGCACAAGCTCCCAAAACCGAGCCTGGGATACCTCACAGACATCCTCACAGGCAGTAATCTGGAGAATGATACCTCAGCCGTGTCAAAGGTGGCGTTGCTAAACAAATAGCTATTCAAAAAAAGTAAGATAAGATGCTTACCTGTCTGCCGCACTTGATGAAGGCTGAAGGTGGCACGTTGCCAGGCGCAATCTGCAGCAGGACATTGCCCGTGGCTTTGAACAGAGGCATAACAAGCATGAACACCGCCACCGAAACTATTCCCAGGCACAACACCTCTGCGTTCTCAATCCTAGCAACAGAAGTGCAAACGCAAAGTGTTTAGCCAAAACCCAAACGCCATCATAAAAGAGCAGAGGAAAGCTGTCAAAGGATTTACCCCAATGAAAGAAACCAAGAAGCTAGTATCAAGCCTGCACTGGAAGAGAGAGATACCAGATGTCAATTAAAAAAGACGGGTACCAAAACAAAGATGCAAAATAAATTGAAGGAGAGATGCATCATGCCACTGTTTGTACCTCCGTACTGAATCTGCCAGAACATGTAAACAGATGGAGTGATGGTTCATATCCTCTGCTTTCCTGTACACTAACAACAACAGACAATGATATGTCCATTGATCAGTCTATTTTCAAATTATGATACTTAGCAAGGAGAAGATGTATATCCTGACAGATCTGCCAGAGACAGACAGGATACCAATCACTTGCATACCTATGTTAACACGAGCATAGCTCCGAAAGAACCAGACACCAAGTAAGTTGACCAAAAGGTTTGTGACTGCAGAAACAATGAGGTAATGCCTGAAACATATTTTTTATAAGAGAAAGAAAAAATATTAGGACAGCAAACAGTTTAGATTGATAGGCCGTGAATAAAGAAATAATGTGGTAGATGCAAGGGGACATAAAAGAACACAAAATTCACAGTTTCTCAGGGAAATAATGCAAGAGGTCACAGAAGTTGGACAACGGATCCCCAATCTTTGTGTATTGTTGACTATAAACTGTAGGTGCAATGCAATGGTGTTTTTGAAGAACATTGATCAATTCGATACTTTCCCTTGAGAACACAATTCAGTTACTCACAACGATGGACTGGATAAACCTAACACATAGTATCATACTAGTAAGTAGTAACACAGTACAAAATGATGCATTAGAGTGACTGGATTTGCATGAACAAGATGACCAGTTTCATCACATGGGAACATCATTTTTTCCCTCCTAACCTGTAAACACATTCGACAACCAACATAGAAAAGAATATTCTGACAGAGCCATCTGTCAGCATACATAAATGGCGCTTACTTGTGCTCAGACTCATCCTGCATAAATGAATGCAGCGATTCAACAGCCAAGGAGAAAGACAGGAACAGCAGGAACAGCTGTCTACATAAACAACCATATGGAGGCGGTCAAAACGTTAGCACAAAAAAGGTTAGAAAGGCCAGAAAGTGTGCCACTTAGTGCAAAGAAATTAAACAAATAATCCAAAGGCTCACTCATATAGTATGTAATGTAAAGGCATCAACAGACTGTTCCAGTTTTGTGCGACAAGAAATTCTAGCTGTTGTTGCTGGCTTACTTGCTACATACAAAATTCATGTTTCCGCTGCCTTGCAATTGAAGCATATGTTTTTTATCATAGCATGGTGTTAAGGTGTTTGCATATGTGTTCTTGTTTCTATTCGACATCGGTATTGCCGAGAAAACAGGGGAGGTAAATTTAAGATGACCAGGACAAGAGGATAGTTGTGTTTGACAAACATATCACAACACATGTGATGTAAGTTGGACTTGGCAGCACTGCCACTTGTTTTTTGCTACTACTACATGATTTGTCTCCCTAAATAGACTCTATGCAAACAAGGATGTTAAAGAGGCGGGTTGGGTCGCGACGCTTACGGCATTGGTGAAGGCCGCGAGGACCTCCAATCTCTTGTACCTGCAGGATAGGATATGACAGGATAGCAAAGTCAGGAGCACGAATGGATCCAAATGAACTAAACTGAACTGAAATTCACTGTATCTGTATCCACTAGGCAAAGGAGCAGGCAGTGCAGGCTGACCCGTAGGTGTAGGTGGAGTCGGGCTTGGTGCGGGCGGCGGCCATGGCGAAGAGGGAGAAGGAGAGCAGGCCGCAGCCGAAGGTGAGGTGGAAGGCGTCCGAGACGAGGCCCACGCGCCCCGTGAGGAGGCCCACGGCGAGCTCCACGGCGGAGTAGGCGGCGTTGAGGGCGAGCAGGAGCGCCAGGCGGCGCATCGGGCGGGTGGCGAGCCAGCGGTACCGGACGTCGGCCTTGGCTGGCTGGGTGAGGGGGAGGGGCACGGGCATGGAGATGGAGGAGTCGGAGCGGGCGAGGCCGGGGCCGGGGGGGCGCGGGGAGAAGGAGGAGAAGGAGGGCTGGCGGGAGTAGGCCAGGCGGCGGTCGCCGCTGCCCACCACGCCGTAGTTGGGGTTCCATGCCCGAGGAGGATCCGCCATCGCCATCGCCGGCGCCGGAGCTGGAGAGGATGGGGAGTAGTAGATCCGGCTTTGGGTTTGGGTTTGGGTTTGATGGGCTTTCTACTTCGTTCGTGGGCCCAACCAGTCAACACCAAAGGTTGACTTGTCATTATTTGTTGATGAAAAACAAAATCATATTATAACATGGTTAAGAAGGAAAATCATAGGCAATTTTTTTTTCAGACACAGGGAGGGGACCGGAAGGTTCCTAAAACAAGCATACCGGAAGAGAGGGAACTGCCGTCAAGAAAGAGATTACGAGTAAGGTGGAGAGAAGAAATGTCGTGGAGAAGACAAGTAAAGAGAGGTAAAACAACGCGACGTTGAAGGATATATTATAGCATTAAAGAGGACACCTTCCATCATAACCTTTCTCTGCTTTTCTCCATCAGTATCTCTGCTCTTGTCTTCTCCACCGCATTGAAGGATGTACTATAGCATAGAAGAGGCCACCTTCTACCACACCACTCTCTCCTCTCGTCTTCTCAATCAACCTTTCTCTGCTCTTCTCCATCGGTCTCGCTACTCTTGTCTTTTCCACAGCGTTGAAGGATGTACTATAGCATTGAAGAGGCCACCTTCCACCACACCACTCTCTGCTCTCGTCTTATCAATCAACCTCTCTCTGCTGTCGTCTCCTCCATCCGTCTCTCTACTCTTGTCTTCTCTACATCGTTGAAGCATGTGCTATAGCATTGAAGATGACACCTTCCTCCACATCCACTGATCTACTCTCGTCTTCTCCATCCGTCTCTCTACTTTTGTCTTCTCCATAGCGCTGAAAGCATGTACTATAGCATTGAAGATGACACCTTACTCCACAGCCACTGATCTATTCTCGTCTTCTCCACCAGCCTCTCTTTGCTCTCGTCTTCTCCACAACGTTGAAGGATGTACTATAACATTGAATAGGACACCTTCCACCACAACCACTCTCTCTCGTGTTCTCCATCAGCATCTCTTTGTTATCGTGTTTGTTCTCCATCAGCTTGTCTCCGTTCTTGTCTTCTCCATGGCATGTAAGGATGTCTATAGTATTGAAGAGGACACTTTCCACCTCAGACACTCTCTACTCCTGTCTTCTCAATCAGCCTCTCTCTGCTCGTCTTCTCCACAACCTCTCTTCCCCAAACCTTACTCAAAATAGTAATTATGTCCTACCAATTTGCAAACATGACCTTGAAATGAAAGGTAAAAAAGCACTTTAGTCCTGCTGCGACAGATGACCTCACCAAAGCTGTGGTTGCCACCATCTTCGTCATGTTCCTGTCCCTCTTCGGACCAAGGAGAGGGGGCTTCACCATGGAGGTTGAAAAGGTGCTCGACGAAACAAATTCATTATTTGGTTTCTTGTTTCGACGACAAAGGTTGATGTAGTGGAAGTAGATTGGCCAAAGAGCTCCATCGCGGCTTGCAAAATCCCATGTGGAGTCGAATTTGAGGCCCTCCACCCCGTTTCCTTCTTTTCGACACCATAGCGAACAAGAAACAAGGGAGAGAGTAGATGCAACATCAGATCCTTCGCTAAAGCGAGCTTATTGCCCGGGGTTCTTTCGCCAGATCCCCAAGTCCCTGCGGCTTCCCACCATGGAAATCGGCTGGAAGGAGGGAGATGAGCTCCTAACGCCACCTGCGAGTGCTGGAGCAAAGCTCCTCCACGACATAGCACTAGTCGCCTTCGAGGCAGGTCTAAACCTAAATGCTAACCTACATACACTATTCAGAGGAGCAGAATGTCGTCCTCTCTCATCCCCACCCTAGTCAGGTGGGTCCCCAAAGGAAGGGTGGGGGGAAGTAGGCGACCCTCAAAGCGGCGGAGAAGAGGTAGAGAGGGGGGAGGCAAGAAAAATGAGGGAGAATCATATACAAATTGCTGAAATTACTAAAGGGGCCCCACACGAGCATCCATGTTCTTACTCCTCTTTGTTTTCGGCTAGAATTGATAGAACTTGGAGCATATTCATTTGAAGTTATACATTGGAGGTTTTCCATCTTTGTACAAACCCCGCGTACGGTTCGAATCCCGTCCCCCCATACTTACTGCAGTGACGCGTTTGACACATCTTGTTTTAGCGTTGTCCCGCCTAATTTTTTTACACTATACACCTCTCCCTTCCTTTCGTTTTCATCCCCGTCCTGACAGGTTGGTGAATGACGTGTTGTCGCACGAGGCGTAAGAGAGCGTCCCGACAAGTTTAATGATCATCAATGCATTTTACAGGAAGCGAAATTACCTTGTCTTGGTAGTCTAATTAGTATTTGTCGAAAAAAGTAGTCATAAAACTGGGAAAAAAGGAAGACCATCGAAGGAGCGGCGTTTCGGCTCCGAGGAGCATATGTTTTTTGGCGCGAAGAAAGAACTCAAAACAAACAGAAAAAACGGCGTTTCGGCTCCCAGGAGCATATGTTTTTTTGGCGCGAAGAAAGAACTCAAAACAAGCAGAAAAGAAATTTAGAAACTTTTGATTTCTATTTTTACATGTTCACGGTAGCATCAGATGTGATTTTTGACAATTTTCATGCGAAAGGGAACATCTGTGCTTTGGTAGGGGAAAATAAGATGAAGTTCAGTGAAAAGTAAAAATCTACAGGTGACATCTAGAGTAGAGCATAATTAAATATCCGGAAAAAGGAAGGCCAGCATGTTGCTCATCTTGGTCTTCAGCTTGACCAGATGAAGTTTATGCACCTGTCCCAATTCACAGCAGAGTAAATTCAAATAGCAAACCACAAAAAATTCAAAATAACGACGATAACGCGAGACCAGATTAAGAAACATGACAGCACGGTATGGATGGATACAGCAATAACAGAGTCATCATCTTAACAACAACATCTTAACAGCAACAACAAATCCATACGAGTATCTTACTACCACCTTGAGCAGCAGCTTAGCTTAGCTAGCTAAAACACTACAGGTTCCAGATATAAAGGACAGACCCAGTGCATAGAAGCTCCCACACAAGGTGGGGTCTGGGGAGGGATTATAGGAACCTAGTCTTACCCCTGCAAAGTGCAATGCAGAGAGGCTGGTTCGAACCCAGGACCTCTTGGCACAAGTGGGGAGGACTTCACCACTGCGCCAGGCCTGCCCTCTACAGGTTCCAGATATAGAGAACTCAAAATGGCAACAAACATATAACATCATCACCGACGCCGACAAACCACCGCCTCGGTCACGCGGCGTTTCAGTCCCCAAAACCAAAACGCGTCGCATGGCTTCATCTGCAAGTATGTACAGTAACAAACAACCAGGGAAGGAAACCCTTGTGCATTTTTCCACTGTCCATCTTCCATCTCCAAGCAGGAGCACACATCATCAGAGTCAGAGGCCTGCTTGCTCTGTTCACCGTTTTGTAGCTGGAGCATCAGGCCTGCTCCTTGCCCTCTTCCTCTCCACTTCCAGTAGTATCAGCCATCTCTGCATTCTTCTCTGAACCTGCACCGGCCATGTCCTCAACGCTCTTCTCCTGCTCCACATCACCCGTGGTAATGTCAGACTCCTTGACTGCATTATCAGCACCAGTGACGACATCAGCAACCGCCGCGACATTCACCATAGCATCCTCAACTAAGTTGCCAGCATCAGCTGTGGCATCACCCATCTCAGTGTCATTCTTCAGAGCATCCTCAACTGCGTTAGCAGAAGCAGAGGCAGCAACATCCATCTCAGTGTCATTCTTCAGAGCATCAGCGACTACATTAGCAGAAGCAGAGGTAGCAACATCCATCTCAGTGTCATTCTTCAGAGCATCCTCAACAGTGTCATCAGAAGCAGAGGCAGCATCAACCTTCTCTTTCTCAAGAAGATTAGCATTTTCAGCACCAGCAGCAATAGCATTAGAATTTTCCAGAGACTCAATTACAGCGTCGCCTGCAGCAACAGCCGCGGCATCAACGCCATTCTCCACAAGAGCATTCTCAGCATCAGCATTAGCCCTCTGCTGGAGGACAACAACAGCATTCTCAGCACCAGCATTCTTCTGGAGGACAAGAGCAGCATTGTCCGCGCTGCCAGCAGCAGCAGCGCCGTCAGCCCCAGCAAAGCGCGCCTCGATGGCTTCGAGACGGCGCCTCATGTCGCCGACCTCCTGCTCCATGAGGAAGAGCCTCTCCTTGAGGGTGAGGTTCTCCTCCTCGAGCCTGGCGACGTGCACGTCCTGGTCGTCCTCGAAGACGTAGGCGCCGCCGTTGGCCATCCCGCCGGGGTAGACCATCTCGAAGCGGCTGAGGTCGTGGTCGAGGCGGCGCTCGACCTCGACGTGCTCCTCGACGTCGCTGCCGCTGCTGGAGTCATCGTCGTCGCCTTCGGCGTCCCCGGGGTGGCGGGGGGAGGAGGCGCGGAGGCGGATGAGGCCCTTCATGGAGCCGTAGCCGTCGACGCCCCACTGCTGCTGCGCCATGTCGGAGAGGCCCTCGCGGGAGGGGGAGATGCGCGGGGTGGGGAGCACGGCGGGCGTGACGGGGCTGGGGGAGACGAGCGACGCGATGCCCCCGGCCCGCTTGGCCCGGATGATGAAGGAGGTGGTGTTGCGCGGCGCCTTGGCCTTGTTGTTGCCGGCCTTGTTGGACTTGGGGAAGAAGTACTTGCGGCCGCCGCCGGCGTTGTTGGGGTTGTTGTTGCCGCCGCCGCCGGGGTTGTTGGGGTTGTTGAACCAGCGGCGGGCCTTGGCGCGGTTCTGCACCTGCAGGTCGCCGATGGCGGGGGGCTGGTAGGCGCCGCCGCCGGCGAGGTTGTTGTTGTTGTTGGGGTTGTTCTTGCGCTTCCAGCCGCGGCTGGCCTGGGGCGGGGCGAGGAAGGGCAGCGGCGGCGGCGGCATGGCGTCGGAGGCGGCCGGCGGGGGCGGCGGCGGCCACATGGGGAAGCTCCGCGGCATCATCTGGCTGGGATCCATCGCCCTGGGTGTGTTTCTAGGGTTAGGGAAGGTTTCAAATCGACGGAATCGGCGGTGGATCGGATCGGATCAGATCGGAGATTAATCAAGCAGGAAGAACTCGCGGCGGCCCAATCCTAACCCTAGCTAGCCGGCCAGCGAGCGAGCGAGCGAGCTTCCTCGCCGGAGTTCGACCGGCGGCGGCGGCGGCGGTGGGTGGGATTAGCGAGCGAGCGAAGAAATCGAGGGGAAAGAAGAGTTCGCAGTTCCGTTTCGTAAATCTGTTCCTCGATTCGATTTCGATTTCGATTTGGGTTTCGATTTGGGGAACGGAATGGAATGGGAAACTGTGGGGAGGAACCCTGTCCGGGCGAATATATAGCACGCGTGGCCACAATGGACGGCCCAGATTCGATCCCACTCCACCAAACCTACCTACTTTTCTTTCTTTTTCTGGAATTTTGGTTGGGTTTGAAGTTTCTAGACAGCTTGTGAGCCTTCAAAACCTTTTTCATAACAATATTTGGTATTTTTTGTGCTTCATGCTGATGTATTATATTGGATAGGTAAACCCGGAATACTCTCGTTTCGTTTATTTATTTCCTATTTTCACCCACTAAACAAAGTTGCCTTCTACGCTTCCAGAATCCCATATTAGGCGGGAAACGACGTCGGTGCGGGCATCGACCGACATGGCACCCGTCAAGTTGCTACCTCCGGAGGGGATATGTATGCATAGTGCGGAGCATGGAGATGTGGGCGATACGATGGATCTCGCCGGATACTCTCGCGGTGATGGGTGCTGACAAAGAGACTCGGTGACGACGAGATTTGAAATGCTGCTATCCTATCCGTGCAAACGATGCACAAATTAACTAATGCGAGTTTGATTTGAAAAAACACACAACACAGAAAACATGACAACATAAACTACGGATGCCAACAAACCCAAATCCCAACCAATCGATTTCATTTCCATTGCTCCTAGCCATCCACTGGCGCTCTGTCCCTCTTCACTAGTAAGGCACACATGTGTATTCATTTACAAGCACAACAACCAAAGTACTGCCCCTCTCCCACCACCACCACCACCACCACCACCATCATATGCCACTATAAAGGTGTCGATGGAGTTTGAAATCTAGACCAACTCATAGCTATTTTGATTTGCTAGAGTGGGGTGGGCTGCCTGTGCATTTCTACTTGTCTCGTAGTTTTGTATCGAGTCGATCAAGCTAATTATAACGGGAAACTAGGGATTGGAGGCATCCAGAAAGATTCACGAGCAACTCTGTCAGTTACAACACTAACACAATGTAGTTGTTAACCCCTAATGATCGACTTCGATTTGGGGAATGAAATGAAGAAAACTGAGGGGAAGAAATTGCCCGGGATGTATATATGGAGGCACCGGGAGAATAGACGACCCAAATTCCATCCTAGTCTACCTATATGCTACTACTCATTAGAATGGTTATGTAATTTTGGTTGAAATTGAAGTTTCTAGAAAGCACAATAAGCTTCAAAGCCTTTTTCACAACAATACCGGTACATTTTGTGCTTCCTACTAATGTAATATTTATTTGGTAACAACAAAAATACACTTATTTTGTTTATCTTTTGCCCAAAATTGTTGCCTTTTATGCTTCTGTACTACCAGCTTAGCCGAGGAAACGACAATGTGTTTTCATCAAACAACAAAAACCGTCGAGTTGCTACCACTGTCGGTGTCAAAACCGGCGGATCTCGGGTAGGGGGTCCCGAACTGTGCGTCTAGGCGGATGGTAACAGGAGACAAGGGACACGATGTATTACCCAGGTTCGGGCCCTCTTGATGGAGGTAAAACCCTACGTCCTGCTTGATTAATATTGATGATGTGTGTTACAAGAGTAGATCTACCACGAGATCAAAGAGGCTAAACCCTAGAAGCTAGCCTATGGTATGATTGTTGTTCGTCCTACGGACTAAAGCCATCCGGTTTATATAGACACCGGAGAGGGCTAGGGTTACATAGAGTCGGTTACAATGGTAGGAGATCTACATATTCGTATCGCCAAGCTTGCCTTCCACGCCAAGGAAAGTCCCATCCGGACACGGGACGAAGTCTTCAATCTTGTATCTTCATAGTCTTGGAGTCCGGCCGATGATGATAGTTCGGCTATCCGGACACCCCCTAGTCCAGGACTCCCTCAGTAGCCCCCGAACCAGGCTTCAATGATGACGAGTCCGGCGCGTATATTGTCTTCGGCGTTTGCAAGGCGGGTTCTCCTTCATGTTCCATGTGTTTGCCAGATAGTGTCCGGTTGCTTCATAAATGCTGCGCTCCTTGGCTTCCACGTCCAATAATGGCCTTCTTCCACGTGTTGTACGAATGCGAAAAGCCAGGGTATTCTTACGTTTTACCCTCTAGCTGCACGAATAAGCTGCCTATAAGAGAGGCGAGGATCCAGATTCAAATCACACCATCCTCCTTCCGCAAGTACTTATCGAGGCGCATCTGACAAAAAATCCATTCCAACATGGATAGTCGACGCGGCTCCTCTTCTCGCGCTCCCAGTCCTCCGCCAGGAGATTGGAGGAGATGCTCAGTCCCGCATAGCGAGTTAGTGACGCTCCAAGCAGAGGGATACCTTCCCCCAGCCTTTATGGTTCCGGTTCGAGCCGGACTGGCCACCTACAAGGGTGGGAAGCAGGCGGAGAGCGTCCCCAATCCCTCCAAAGGAGAGCTGGTATGCTTCGTCCCCTACTTAATAATGGGACTCGGATTTCCCATACATCCGTTTCTCCGAGGGCTCCTGGAGTTCTATGGACTCCAACTTCACCACCTCACGCCCGCCTCCATTTTGCACATCGCGGGCTTTATAGCTCTTTGCGAGCTGTTCTTGGGCATCGAGCCCCATTTTGCGCTGTGGAAGAGGCTGTTTTGCCTCGTACCCCGTTCTCACGAGGGGTCGATATATCAAGTGGGCGGAGCCGAAATATGGCGCATCGCCGGGACCGGATATCTATCCGGAACCCCGAGGAAGGCGTCCGAAGACTGGCCTTCAGAGTGGTTCTATATGGAAGACGCCCCGCTACCGGACCCAGTTCGGATCGGCCTCCCGGAGTTTAGCAACGCTCCTCTAAAGAAACGCCTGAGTTGGCGCCCACGGAGCCCTCAACGGGAAGATGACAGGAGCGTCCACTATCTGATGGGCCGGATACTATTACTAGCCCATTCCGGATTAACCATGATTGGAGTCATGGCCACATGCATTATGCGAGGGGTGCAGCCGCTCCAATATAGGGGCCACCCCATGTGGGATTTCAACGGGGAGAATGACGCCACCCGTCATGGCCGCACGGGGCCGGGATCGGCCGCCGATCTGGTGAAGATCCTGTCCGGCTTGTACAAGGGGGAGAGGGAGGACTTCCTCCGCATGAGTCCATTGAATGGATTCTCCATGAATTACCCTCGGAGCTGGGTAAGCGGACGTTTATATATCTGATCCGTGCTTTCAAAGATAAGTGTCTTACTTTATGATTTCGACGCAGGAACTGCGCCGGGATGTGGAGGGCATAGAAAGCCCAACTCCACAACCCGAGGATCCGGGAAGATCCCTTGATCCGGCCTCCGAAGAGGATCCGGACATAAAGGTGGATTTGATTGACGGGGTGTTCCACCAGTTCAGCATAGACAATGCTTTAGTCGCCATTACGGCTGACTACCCCGGTTTATGTCCGGCTTCCCAGGTGAGTACGACCGAAGTCTTGACACCGTTACTTTTTTAATGCTTATTTCTGACCATCATGTACCAATGGTGCTTCACAGGAGGTGCCTTTACGGTGGGAAGCCGAGCCCGCGGCGACTAACCAAACGAGGTCAGTGCGGCCTAGCAGGCGGAAGAGGAGTGCGGCGTGAATCGAAACATCGCTGCAAAGGTATGGTGGACCATTGTCTTTTAAGGGAAAGACTCCTGGGAGGTATATTAATGCTCATGATTCTTCCAGGAGAAAGAGCGCTCGCCGTATTGAGTCCGGAGAGGGTGCCAACCAAGCCTCCGCCAGCCAGGCTCCAACGCCTGGTCCGGAGGGGGAGGCGAGCGCAAGGCGCGAGCCGGATGCTCCTCCAACGGAGGATGCCGACAGGTTGTCCGCCACCAGGTCTGAGGTGGAGAGCGCCATGAATCACAGGCGCCGTCGGACAGTTCTTCGTGACGCGTGTTTCTCCCCAGAGGCGTTGAATGCCTTTAATGCGGGAGACGCGCACCTCCGTGCTGCTCAAGATGGTTTAACCAGAGCCGCGGAGCAGTATGTAAAAGACATACGGGTGAGGAATTGTAATAGTTATATATGCCAGTAGCCCCCGAGACTTAAAATAGTTAAACTAACTGATTTAAGGATCATTTGTTATGCAGGATCTTACCGAGAAGAATACCCACCTGTCCCAGGAGCTTCAAGAATGCAAGGCCCAACTTGAGGCCGCACTAGTCGCTGCCGGGGGAGCCACGGAGACCCCCTCTGATAATTCATATTTTGAAAAGAGAAGTAGTTTATGAAGTGCGGCGTGTGTGTATAGTCTGACAATAATATTGCAGAGGATGCCGGACTAGATCCGGACAAGCAACATCTGCTGCGCCAGTTGAAGGCCGGCGAGAAGGTGCTTATGAGGGTGCAGCAGGAGAGGAACAAACTCCAAGATGCCAACACCCAGCTGGGCGAAGAACTAAAAGATGTCCGGGTCCAGCTGTCTAACTCCGTAAAGGAGAATCGGCGGCTTCGTCGCGACATTTATAGTAAGTGCTTGAGCAAAACTCTTTTGAAAAGAAGAGTTTGGCGAGGAAGTCGATTGACAGAAATGTGTCTGTAGGTGTGCTCACGGGTCGTCCGGCAGAGAGATGCCTGGTTCCACGGGAGACCCTCTTCCTGAGCTGCTGCAACTGCACGAACGTGTTCGGCAAGCGATGAGCGGCGTCGTTCAGGCCTTATGGCCTTCCGTCTCCCTACCCGAGGGTCTTGGAGGGCTTGCTGAGAAGCTTCA